CCACTCGTTTCGTGCATTTTCCCGTTTTTTCAAGTCACGCATATCGACATCCCAACATAAAAACGAATATTGCTGCGCATTTCAAACTCGTTGTATTCATTTTTTAATAACTATGCCTCAACGTATCGATAGTTTTCTCGTACTTTAGTCGACGATTTAATTTATTTATTATAGTTTGTAAATATTCACGTTATCAGTGCTAACCTAAAAGCTACGAAAACATGCTTATAATCTGATCCTAAAACCGCTTAGGTAAAGAAAATTGAGAAAATTGCAGTACAATTAACAACGTCGTTATTAGGAATTAGTGACGCGCTATAATATGTTATTGATGTTATATGTCGCATCAATTATGCACGAAAAAAAAGTATATGTAGATAGTTAGAAATACCCTGATGATCAATGATTGATGTAAGGCTATGAGTACTTTGCGCGTACGGAAATATAATAATGATCTCAGCAACGATGGAAAATAATTATTCACGAAATTATTGCGAAACAGTATACAGCTGCTGCGTTGTAGTTACTTTATTCATAGTATACATATCTTTATTATAGTCATTTTTTGGTTTGAGATCGATGTAACGTAATCGAGTGACGGCCGGTTTCGAGAAAACGTTTTCATCGATATTCATTATCAATTACGCGCGGATTTTTATTATTATTCATTTATTTACCATTTTCGTGACGAGCATGGCAATCGCGCATGTTGTGTACCTAAATAAAAATGTTTCATCGGAATCCGCTGTCGTCGACGTGTTGTGTATTTTTCACAATTGTACCCGTAAACAGAGTAAAGGGTTTTTTTTTATTAATTTTTTTTTCGTAGCAGTGTTTTTTTCATTTTTTTTCCAAAGACATCAATTGGACACATTTTTCATTGTTATACCTTTTAATAAAAGCTTTCGCAAACAATGGAATTCGAATTGAAACGGAGAAATCGATTCGGGTTTTTAGTTTTTTTTCTCGACTTTCGTCGCAAATAACATTCCAATAGTAATATTACACGTAAATTCGAAGAGAACAGAATACGTATAATATCATGTACAGCGTGTGACGTAGACATTTATTTTTTCTGTGTGATGAATACATTTTGTAACTTTTCTCAAGTGGTATATTTCGATTTAATTACAATATTTACAAAAATATTTCAATAGGGCAGTAAAACTTCGTATCACGGTAGACAGCTAAATAACGTGTAAGCACACACAAGTGATTATACGTCTAGTAGCGTACCGATAAGTGGGGAGGAAGTAAAGAATTAACTTCGACCAAGAACATGCTGATTGTTTTTAATTATGGACTATTTTATTTAGTTAATTTAAAAATAATTTATATAAAAAAATAATTATTTTTTTTACATTGACAGTCAACATGAGTAATAATGTTTTCGAATTATTACCACCCTTTTACATTTTTATTTCCTCCTCTCTTCCCCCCCCCCCCCCCCCCCCCCCAATTCAAACAGCGAATTTTTCCATACACCGTTGAGATGGCCTTGTTGACGCACTGCAGGTAACGGGAAAACGCTATTGAATAAAAATGTTAACTTAAGACCGTTGGTTTTTTACGAAAACTCATGTCTACCTTCCCTATAATCTTATTTGCGAAACGAGGGGGTGAGGTTTACGACGACGACGACGATGATGATGTTATCGTAATTATATTATTAGCCGTGAGCTTTCCGTAGCGCAGTCTAGCGGCTGTAGCTACGTAATATTATTATACTATAATAATATGAGGTACTCGCAGCTGCCGTCGCGTTGCTACCCGCTAATAATATTATCGAATAATATTAAATCCCATCATCCCGTAATCCAAATCAATCGATCAAAATGTAATCAATTTTGAAAATGTGACTCGATCAATTTGCCTTCGATTATTGATTTATACCGCCACATTTGTGCTCCAACGGGCGAATTCGATTCGCCCGTCAAGTCAGCCCGTGAGTCGTCGAGCTTTGTGCGTCACAAAAGCGGAGAACACATCAAACGACCACACTGCGAAAACGTTGAAAAATAATATTATATTGGTACAACGGGCATCGAAAAACAGTAATATCCGTTCGCACGTGTGTACATAGCAAGCGTATATTAGTCGGTCTATCGACTCAGAAAGCCGGTGGTATGGTGAACGTTATCTATCAATGATGCACAGTATACGTTGTATACCATGAAGGTACACATCATTAAAAATGTCTTAAAGTTGCACGTCTTATCGTTTTGTATTTATGATTGATTTGGGATTTAGGATGCTTACTGCACGGCAAGACAATTAACATAACGTTTGTGATTTAGTGCCTGTAAATTAAACGGTTCCGGATTTCAACCAAGACATATTACAGACCTCTTCGCAAAAGGCACTAGATTATTAATATGGTCACACCGGACCCCGCGCACTAATTGAAAAAAATATCATAGTTTATAAGCAAATCAATTACACTAATCCTCTGTTATTTATCCCTCTAGGTTAAGATTATTTAAGACTATATAAATAATCACGATTATCAATCATTCCTGAACGTCAATATAATTAGTGTAATATGTTGTAATCATAGTATTGCTTTTCTTTACTTTAGTTAATAAATAGAAAATTTAGATGATCCTTGAAATATTTAAAGTACCTATGGCTAAGACGAGGGTGGGCTTCACCCGTCATAGACCGCTCACTGTATCTGTGCCTGGTGTTTAGATAGAATACACGTGTGGTTTATGGGATGCATTCGTCTTGTGTTGTATTCTCGGTTAAGGTTGGTCTGGTGATTGAAAATTGAGTAATATGGCCGTTTAGGATATCCTGTTATATTTACACGTACTACGTCACATCAACAGATGTAAATTAACCATACATGTTCTACTATTTCATGTGTTAAGTATAATATTTATAAACACAGACCACGCAATTTGTAGTTGATATCGTGTGGACGGAAATATTTTGTAGCGGATCTGGCGGCGTAAGGATTAAAAAATTAATAATTTACAAGCCACGAAGGAGATTAAAACAAAATCGAAAACAATTCGATTGTCAGTATTTTCTTTTCCGTCCAATGTAAGCTGAGTAGTTAATAACTCGAAAGTTCGTGTAGTACGGCTGTATATTGTCCACTAATGCAACAGTCCCGTAACCCGGATAGCACGCCACCATCGAGAGACATGATAACACCTCGGGGGTATGAAAAATTTGAAATGACTACGAAACACGGTAGATTCTGATTGTATTTGATTTTTGATTGTTCGTTATTATTTACTTTTCCGCTGTCACGTGCGTGTATTTTTTTTTTAATAAAAACGGATATTTGCACGTAATATCACCATCACGTCATCGGATCCGATAAAAATATAATACCACGACTACTGGTTACAATATACTGTACAACCGATACGTCTTCTCCGGCCGGTAGTCGAGTGCGACTCGTTATGCGGATGACTTCGACTTCTTGCTCGCAAATGTACGAGTATAATGCATAGGTGCACCCATAGAACTTCGTTGATAGTAACTCTTTAACTTGATTTCTACTATTTAGCCCGCCAACGCTTAGCTTCGAATCGAAATGATTCAGTGACATACGCGTTATCGAATGTGCGTTTTTCCAAAGGTTTTAATATTTATATGTAGTGCTTTGGATGTACAGAGCCCATCCAGACAGTATGCGCACGACCTCGTTTATTGTGGTGTATACACCGTACATGTAACTGTGCATAATTTTACATCTTCCATACGTGTGTATATTATTTAATGGTGTCGAGTGTACCACATGCCGAGTCCAAGAACACCGAATCGCTTACTGACGTACAAACACGATTAGACTTCCAAAATTATAAGCATCAGTCCGAAAGGGGTGCCATCCATTGCAAGTGTATGTGCATATATATATATATATTATTATTATTATTGTGTTGCCTTATAACACGTAAATAACGTCTCCTGTACACGGATTTACTGCAAATTGAAAGGGCGGAACATATATTGCGTGCGCGGAGAAGAGGAAAAAAAGGTGTCAGAGCGAAGAAGAACAAAAAAAAAAAATAAATAAATAAAAAAGGACTTTATACTAAACGAAAATAGCAATTTTGCTGTCGCGACTCCAATACGTATTTTTGCACGCCCACCCGCCAAACCAAATCATGTCTTTCGAGGGAAAATACGATCGAGTGGTACCTTTATTGGAGCACTCGCATGCACACTCGGACAAAACCCACGTACCCGGAAACCAATAAAGTGCCCGTGTGTATGCGCGTGTACAACTATTATACCGTGTACATACATAGGGGTTGTTATAACGGGATGCGAGACGGGAGTGGGATCTGTAACGGCGTTAAACGTATGCACACGGTTCACGGTATATCGGAGACGCGTGTACGTCTCACAGTCGTTGATTTTTCGGTCGGTCCATTTCGGGTCCTACGTCTCTATGTTCACATACCAGATATGTGGTACGGTGGTGATGTGCGTATAATATATTTATACATACGTGTATGTGTTTAGGGCTGAACAAAAGTTGCAGTCGCCGTGGCGGCAGTCGTAAAGTATAGTATTACACGCACTGTGTGAAAAAAAAGAATCAGCTTTTGCTCACCACATACTAGTGTAGACGATGGGAACAGCGAATTAAAAAAAAAAAAAAACCGGAATATATTCGTTTTTATTTCAGTTTTTTTTAAATTTCCCAGAAAATATCGTCATCGCATCCGTTACTTGCTGCCGCTGCGTTAGAGTACGTTTCACGAGCAGGCACTAGCACGCGCGCCTCTGTCAGTCGTAGAAATGCAGACCTATTATTCGCTGCGGGAAAACTTGTTTATATGAAAATGTCGAACATAACATTTTTTTTTACTTACGCGAAGAGCATCGTTTTTCCTTTGCAGTACACTTAACCACACGCTCGTTCGTACACACATGCATATAAAGATATGCGTATACATAATAATAATTATTATAAATACTATTATGCTTTCTTTATGTGTTTGTATTTTAACAATTTTTTTTCTTTCTCGTTTTAGTATCTCATGCGCAACATCCACCACCCGGTCGGCTTGTTCTGAAATGATTTCCAGACGAAGACAACACTGAACGGGATCACACGACTATAGGGTACATCATAGCAGTGCTATATTAAATTATATACGTACGCTGCAATAGAAAGCTGTCGACAGCGAAGAAGATTCACACAGATCCCGCAGAAATTGTGTATTCGTAGAGCGCGAAAAATGAGATCCACCGAGATGAACAAGCTTTCGCTGTGTTTGATGCTGCTCGTAAAAGGTGAGTAAAATATCTACTCAAGTATAGGTCATTTCTGTATGCACTCATAATTATGTACTATACTCGTTAACGGGTTTTTTTCTCGGATGCTTTTAACGCATCCACTAAAAGTTTTTCGACCTAAACATTTACTAAATCTCCTCATTCCCTGTGGAATGCCTCCCCGATTATTATGTTTTGGATATTTATATCTAAGTTTATACGTATATATTTATGAATATAATAAGCTGGTAACGTAAAAAAAATGGTATATTTAAAAATAATATACCCACAAAATTGAAAAAAAAAAATAATAAAATAACATAAACATTATAACGTGAGTACTTACTAAACTTTCCGAAAATAAGAGTTAACTAGTACCGAAAAGGTTTTATTTTTTCATAACTCCTTTATGAACAAAAATAATAATAACTATATTTTGGTTATCTGCGTGTTAAAGTGAATTTCGAGAAGCACATAGGTACATCATCTATGCTTAACTTATTACTTATAACTTCATAAAATGAATTCATAGAGAAAAATAATTACAAAAGCATATATATATTTATATATATGGCTTCATAGTATTTTTAAGCCTTTTAAAACGTGTACTTGTTTCGAAAAAAAAAAATTTAAAATACCTATTAAAATGACGGTAAAATACGAAGTAAATATTTTACACCCATTGTAATATTATGGTTGCGAATCGAGCATATTATAAGTATATAATTATTATTATTGTGTACATTCGCTAAATTGAAATAATATTATGCATTTTAAATTGAAATATTTACACCAAGATCACGTTATTTCACTTCTGTTTTTTAAGACTTTTACTCATGCATTGCAGCAAGGGTCGTTAAAAATAATTGGTTTTATTAATTATGTATGTTTTGGAAATTCACGTTATATTTATAGTTATTTTTATATCGAATCGTTTTTGTAATCTTTTTCTATTCCCTTAATTTGAATTTCACCGTCAATATTACCATGTAAAAACATGTTCACTTATATTTTTGTATTTCGTTCCGAATACCACTCGAACAAACGGCGTTATTATTTGCATTATCACGTTACATAATGATCTTTCAATCCGATAATAGATCAACCTCCTACCCTTACCAACCTTTATAACATCTATCGATCGTGGGCTTCCGAGCGGCAAGTGTGCTACAACATCGGCTATCGACATCTATGAACTAGGCAAGTCTATGGAAAATATTCTCTGGAGCTTGTTCGAAGTATACTCATCAGAATTTCGTTTGACATCTCAAATTTCTCGATTAATAACCATGAAGGATTATGTAAATTATTTTAATTATTACGTCGTGGGGGAGATGGAATTATTACGAGTATTATTAGATATAGCGAAAAACGCACCTGAGGGACGACAAACTAATTGTTTGCGACGGTGACATGACGTGCGCTTATACGTTATATTATTCGTCTATAAGGCAGAAATACATTTATGACAAGATCGATCACATCGCCGCTAGGTGGTAACTAAATGGTAACTGTTCACTATTTTCGAAGGGTGTTGAAGTCTCTAAATCCATCACGCCCTCCGTTCACGCCTATAGTTGTAAAAATTACAATTGTTCTTTCCAATAAAACATCTGAACCATTATGTAGCATCATCTCGCAAAACACTGCTGTGTGCTGTGCTCGGTATTATTTCCTCATTTCGTCAACACAAGTGAGTACTGCAACATGCGGCATCTGTATATATTTAGATTTTTCTGACAACTTCGAACAAACAGCACGTAACGCGACAGCATAATAATCATATGATTCGCAATTAATTAACATTAATTTTATAACGACGACGATAATGTACAGGTTTGTCCAACGAGATTTCGTTACAATATAAACACAGATTGCGATTCGATTCGCTAATGCGCGTACACACGTACATACGTACAAAACTGAATGCAATTAATGCGAAGTCGTTTGACTCGGGGGCAAAGTTTGAATAATAACATTAGTATTAACAATTCTCAACAAATATAATAATTCAATAATAATAACATGCGATTCGTTATCGTGCAGTTATCTTCCGATGTCGCTGGCTTTTATCAATAATGGGGGAGGGAAGAAGTAATGAGCACACCATCAACAGAATTGTTCAGGTCAACTGATCGTTATATTTTACATCTCGACATCATACACGATCGATTTCAGGCAATTTTAACACGTGTATACAAGGTAAGAGAGCGAGAGAAACATTTTGTTATAGAGGAAAAATGTTCAATAACATTTTTAGTAGAAAAAACACGTCCAACACGATCATTTATATAGTGTAACATAGATTTGGCTGTTGGATAAGTACCTGGATTATATCACGTTCATTCGTTGCGGTGACCTCCTATAAATGATTTTGGGATCGACTCGATATTGATCGATTTCCTTTCTCTCCGGTCGAGTTCGCCGTTAATTCGTGTCTATCATAGAAACACTCACGAAGAGGGTTCTGTTGCGAATATTAGGTGTACGCGAGACCAATATTACGTTATTATTATGTATATTTTAATCAGCAAATGTTTAGAACAATACCGACCAACAACGACCATGTAACGGGTACTGCCGCGACTTCAGTTACATATCCGCACACAGCAAAATCGTGTTATAGTTGCAAATCTAACACTGCAGCTGCACGATCATCGTCGTCATCGTCTTATCGAGCTCTAATTAGCCATCATCAAATGTCATTGATGGATTTAGGTCAAGGGTCAGGTTCGTGCTGCAACCTTTCCTGGTTTTTTTTTTCTTCACTCAAACATTTTACCTGCCCATACTTCCTCTTCCAGTACGCGGTTATCACATCGTTCTAAAATGTAGTCACCTGCAATATCCACGGGCTACTAAATTTCTTTTTTTTCTTGGTCTCATGTCAGCCTCAGACATCGGTTACTCTTGATTAAATCAAAAGTGCATTTTTCGACTTCACACGCATCAAACGTTTCGCTTTCATTGGTATTTAACGTTATTAAACGAATTGTCACATCGCTGATAAAACTATAGAATTCGAATTTTAAATAGTTAGATACAGCTTACTTCGGTGAAGTATAACCCGCGACATACATCGAAAAATAACTTTTCTGAAGTTCAGATGCATAAATCATTATATAAACACGACCGCGATGCAACTACGAGTTCACATGAAAAAAAAAAAGTTGAATAAAAATCTCTTAAATATGAATAATATTTTATTAAATTAGCTGAGTTTCGTTGACTTTTTAATTATTTTTTCACCCGGTATCTGCTTTCTGGAGTTTCGCCGGACTCATTTTTTTTTCTCACGCGTAACCGAGTCCGCGAGACCGTAAAAGTCTAAAACCTAGCAAAGGGTTCCAGCCATGTCAGTCAAGCTACTGTTTGTCGAAAAATATGATTAATTCATTTCGTAAGAGTACGAGCATATAAACACCCCTGAAACACCTCTACTATAGTTGTGCTCGCATACTCGTATGTGCGATGCATTTTAATTTTATTCTCTCGTTTGCGTATATATTTATACTCGTAACAATATATTGGGTGTGTACAGAGGCCACATTCTTCGCTAGGATGGATTGTTAAACATTGATAGGTCCCGACAGTAGTTTTGTTCGTAGTGTCCGACTGGCAAGTTTTCTGTGATTCATTCTCGTGAACCATTTGCCTAACTTAATAAAATGATAACATCATGACTATAAGTCGGTGATTCAGCCGTATTACGGAACAAATCCTTCTGAATAGGACCAAACACTATGTGTACGCATCACTTATTATTTACTGAAAAATGTTATGTCCGTAAACACCTTCGTTGTTGATGTCTTGAGCCGTTAAACAATGACGTTTAAACGCAGTTTGAAAAAAGGGAACACTGCGGGTTGTAGGAAATATATATAAATCTATACCAAGGAGGAGTTAGTTTTTTGAATGTCAACGTGTCCGAAGAATTCAAGCGATTTTAGTGTATTTTAGCATTTTCTTTTTGAAATCCGGTCACAATAAACGAATCTTTTGAGCTGCATAATACATACGACAACGGGTACGTTTTACTATTTCTAAACAAAACCGCATTTTATAAGGTAATATTAAGCTTTTTGTGTTTTGTTTGTGGTCGTATTTAATGCCATACCATGTATATGACGTGTACGCGCCGTTTTCGTTTGGGTTTCGATGTGATCTGTGGATTTCGGTTTTAACATATTACTCGTTTCCGCAATATGGTGCGCGGCGTATATACCACCAAAGCGTTATTATATTACTATCCACTGCCGTGATAAATAATTACAACGATCCGGTAGTTTGTTCGTTTGTCTAAGCAGTGATGAATTATCGCGTCGTGACTTCGTCTCGAATAATATCAACGAGTACCTATATTACGGAGACTAATACGTGCACTTTCGACAACGTGATGGGGTCAGGGTTTCCTATTTCTAATATCACGTTGCCGGATTTTCGTTTCGTTTTACTCTTCGGGCTATTCGATGTTCAATCATCAGTCGAATAAACGAACGTTTACCCGGACGGGATAAAGGTGCGACAGTTTTTTTATAGCGATCGCAATGACGAATGACATCGGCGACCGCTTATGAACACACCTGGATGAAAATAATTCTGGCCAGCGACGGAAAGTCCAATATAGATCGTTGACTTTTATTCTGTTAGAGATTAAGACTAAGCCCTTTCAGCCTAATCGTTCACTATCCACTCACACGTTTTCCGATCATTTCGAGATGTTTATTTTATTTCCGGTCACAAACCAGTATACGCTCATTAGACATATTATCAAAAAATTCATACACACGATATTATTTCATGTCGCCAATCATCCAGTAAATATCGAACTCGCGATATTGTGTCGGAGAATGATGTTTGGAAATTATCGAAGCACCCAGCCCTTTATACTAACGTTCCTTTATCCATTCGTGTACCCCTTGATCCCTCACCTGAGCTTCGAGTACCTTCTCCTCACCATATTTGCTTTTTCCTAAAATATCCTCTTTTACTCTTTTTTTCTTCCGGCACGCACCCTA